TGCCCCTTTGTAGTAAATCCCCTCCCCTCCCCACCAGCTCCTAAACAACCACAATTGTTTTCTCCCTCCTTTTCCAGAACGCCATGGAATCATCATGTACGTAGCAGTTCTGTTTTGTATTATATTTAGGAAAACAACTTTTCTAAGTGCATTTTAACCTCTAGTCATTTTTAGTCAATGCACTTGTGTTTCCCCAGTATTGTTATTCCATCCTGAAGAAAGTTTTTTCTTCCTCCCCTATATTGAACAACAATGAGTTTGAACTGCGTTGTCCACCTCTATGTAGATTTTCTTGTTAAGTACAGTATGTAAACGTATTTTCTCTCTTGCAATTTTTTTTTAATGTTTATTTTTGAGAGCAGGTGGAGGGGCAGAGAGAGTGGGACAAAGGATCCGAAGCAGGCTCTGTGCCGACAGCAGAGAGCCCGATGCAGGGCTCAAAGTCAAGAACCATGAGATCATGATTTGAGCCGAAGTCAGACACTTAACTGATTAAGCCACCCAGGCACCACTCTCTTGTAACTTTCTTAATAACATCTTTTTTCTCTAGCTTACTTCATTGTAAATACAGTATATAATACATATAACATATAAAATACGTGGTAATTGTTTACATTATTGATAAGGCTTCTGGTCAATAGTAGGCTATTAGTAGTTAAGTTTTTGGGGAGTCAAAAGTTACATGCAGATTTTCTACTGTGCAGGTCTCGGCACCCCAACCATCATGTTGTGCAAGGTATTCGTCTATCTTACCTCCTTTTGTGGTTGTAACAAGCATTTCTATTCATTAGGATAGTAAGGAGATACGGAGATCTAAATTGAACATTTACCATGTTATACTCATTTTTCAATCTCATCTGCTAATAACAGTCTCCCTGATGTCAATTAGTTGTTGTTAAATATTAATAGGAAAGTGTTGTATTTTGACATTTTAACAAATTAAACCCGTGAAAATGATCCTCGTTGGAATATTTTTATAGCTTAGAATATTTCCAACTATTAAGTGTGTAAAAATGAGTGTTTCTATAGGTGTCAGTTTCTTGGCACTCATGTAATGGTAAAAACACTCAAATATTAGTTTTCAATATACGGTCTCCATAAAATGAGCCCCTTTAGGGAAAGCAGTCGCTTTCTCACTCATTGTTAAAATGCCCTCTTTATCTTGAAGGAACAGATTAATGGGAGTTGAGGAAAGGGCTTTACCATTTTCCACTTGTTCACTCATGGTACTTTAATGTATTATCTTCAACTTATGGTTATTTACAAGAATCATCTGATAAACCTTAAATCCACTTCACCACACACAGATAAATCATAAGAAAGCAAACCGCCATCAACTTAAATTGGGTTATTCCCAATTTTCCCTCAGGTATCCAGGGTGCAGCACTGATTTGGGACCAGAGTGCTTGCAGCCATAGTTCATTCTGATTGGTCAGGGCATCAGCCACAGTTCTTTTTTGTTTGTTTTTTAATATCACCCCTGCTAAATAACAGGCCTGCTGTGTAGATCAGTATGTTATGGAGATGAAATCAGACCTCTCATATCAAACCGTATTTTAAATATTAGCAAAAGCTAAGTTTCTTAAGATAAAAAGTAAACATACATAGACATTTTTGTATTTTCTTCCCTTGCCTCCAAGGACGGCCTTGCACATACCTCCACATACCCCACCTTGGAAGTTACTGGTCTGACAATTACAGAATGGTCCAGAGAGGCAGATTTTCAAAATGGCCAGCATACCTCAGTAAAGGGTTCCCCAAAATTGGATGTTTACTTGCTAGAAATGCAACTGCAGGGGTAAATGGTAAATTACTTCCAACATGCTTTCCTTTGTATTATGTTAGATACTAGAAATGAAAAGTAGCTTGTTTCTATTTATAAGGAAAGTAGCAGATGATAGAGCTAGACTAGTACTCAAAAGGCCTATCACCAAACTCGGTGACTTTGGGTGAATCATTTCCTGTCCCCGGTCATGTTTTTCGTTTGTAAAACCTGGGGCTGAATTCAATCACCTTTGAGGACCCGTACAGCTCTAAGATTCTGGGGTTCTATGATTCTTCTTCACCAAATATTACATGTTGGTTCATTAGAAAGAACTCTCTGGAGAGAAAAAAAATTTTATATAGTTTTAATTAGAAATAGAAGGCATTTTTCCAATGCCTTTTTGGTGTATATTACAGTGATATACGATTTAATGTTTCTTATTAATGTAATGTGTTTTGCAGCTGTTACATCAACTTCATAATTCTGGAATTAGCAATTCTTCAAAAATATTTCTCTGTTCAATTTTTCTGAGATATTATTAGGATTTTTGCATCGATGTTCATAAATAAGAATCTCCCAAATTTTCTTATTTTACTTTATTTTTTTTTAAATTTCTTAATGTTTATTTATTTTTGAGAGAGGCAGAGACAGAATGCAAGTGGGTTAGGGGCAGAGAGAGAGGGAGACACAGAATCCGAAGCAGGCTTCAGGATCTGAGCTGTCAGCACAGAGCCAGACGCAGGGCTCTAACTCACAGACTATGAGATCATGACCTGAGCCGAAGTCGGACGCTCAACCAACTGAGCCACCCAGGCGCCCCTATTTTACTTAAATTTTTAAAATTGAAAGTCATAGTGGCACCTGGCTGCCTCAGTTGATAGAGCATGTGACTCTTGATCTCAGGATTGTAGGTTGGAACCTTACGCTGGGTGTAGAGACTACTTAAAAATAAAACCTTTAAAAATAAATTAACATAAAAACGAAAGTCATATTTACTTCAGCAAGTGAACTGAGTATCTTACTATCATTTTCTATACTTTGGCAGTATATGGAAGTTCTTTGATAGTTTGGAAAAGTCTCAAGAAAGCTATCACTAGCAAATGACTTTTTTTCTTTTTAAAAATTTTTTAAGTAAGCTCTGGTCCCAGTGTGGGACTCAGACTCACAACCCCAAGATCAAGAGTCACACGCTCTGCCAACTGACCCAGCCAGGTGCCCCCGGACATATTCTCTTTTAAATGTCAGTTTTGTAATATTACAGCTTTATAAGGAACCAGACATTTTGATACTAGTAATCAAATTTTTAGCATCAAGCTGATAAATCATGCGTTTACAATCTAATTGATGTATTCTATGTACCTCCCATCCAATAATAAATTTACTAATTTGTACTTTTGTGATTGAGCTGATACTTTACCAATTTAATTTTTTTTAAGATTTTATTTTTAAGTAGTCTCCACACCCAATGTAAGGCTCAGCCTTACAACCCCGAGATCAAGAGTCGCATGCTCCAGTCACTGAGCCAGCCAGGTGCCCTGATACTTTACCAATTTAACCTATAAGCATCAATTAATGACATACATTTTTCAAATTTTTTATCATGCATGCTTGGTTTTCTTATTCTATTTTGATTTCCTCTCTAAGTTCTAACCACAAACCTCTTAAAAAAAAAAAAAAAAACATTTCCACCCTTATCCCTAAAATAGAGCTATAAAGCATCATTTTCTTACTTTACAGCACAGCTTAGGTATCATCACATAAATTTTCTCGCATAGAATTTGAGTTTTCACTATTTAAAAAATATTATCCTCCAACATATTCTCTATACCCGAGATTTAAAAAAATTTTGGCGGGGGGTGGGGGGCGCCTGGGTGGCTCAGTCGGTCAAGCATCTGACTTCAGTTCAGGTCACGATCTCACCGTCCGTGAGTTCGGGCGCCAGGTCGGACTCTGCTGACAGCTCAGCGCCTGGAGCCTGTTTCGGATTCTGTGTCTCTCTCTCTGTCCCTCCCCCCACTCACGTTGTCTCTCTGTCTCTGAAAAATGAATAAACCTTAAAAAATAAAAAAAATATATAGGAATTTACCCAAGGGATACAGGAGTACTGATGCATAGGGGCACTTGTACCCCAATGTTTATAGCAGCACTCTCAACAATAGCCAAATTATGGAAAGAGCCTAAATGTCCATCAACTGATGAATGGATAAAGAAATTGTGGTTTATATACACAATGGAGTACTACAGGGCAATGAGAAAGAATGAAGTATGGCCCTTCGTAGCAACGTGGATGGAACTGGAGAGTGTGATGCTAAGTGAAATGAGCCATACAGAGAAAGACAGATACCATATGGTTTCACTCTTATGTGGATCCTGAGAAACTTAACAGAAACCCATGGGGGAGAGGAAGGAAAAAAAAAGAGGTTAGAGTGGGAGAGAGCCAAAGCATAAGAGACTGTTAAAAACTGAGAACAAACTGAGGGTTGATGGGAGGTGGGAGGGAGGGGAGGGTGGGTGATGGGTATTGAGGAGGGCACCTTTTGGGATGAGCACTGGGTGTTGTATGGAAACCAATTTGACAATAAATTTCATATATTGAAAAATTAATTAATTAATTAATTAATTAAATAAAATAAATTTTTAATGTTTATTTTTGAGACAGAGAGAGACAGTGTGTGAGCAGGCAAGGGACAGAGAAAGGAAGACACAGAATCCGAAGCAGGCTCCAGGCTCTGAGCTGTCAGCACAGAGCCCGACACGGGGCTCAAACTCACCGCGAGATCATGGCCTGAGCCGAAGTCTGACGGTTAACCAACTGAGCCACCCAGGTGCCCCATATTTATTTTTAATTTCTGCACTAGATACGGCCTCCAGCAAAATGTTGAATAGAAACAGTGTTGGTAACATCCTCCAATAATGCTTCAAATGTCTTACTCTTTTTTTTTAATGTATTTATTTTTGAGGAAGAGAGAGGGAACAGGGCAGGGACACAGAGAGAGGGAGACAGATAATTCCAAGCAGGCTCGCAGTGTTGGCTCTATTCCATGAACCATGAGATTAAACCTGAGCCAAAATCAAGAGTCAGATGCTCAACCGAGCCACCCAGGCACCCCTCAAATGTTTTACTCTTAACATGACATTTGCTGGAAATTTGTGACCCTTCATTTTGAAGGTGAACTGAGCCCATTTACATTTAATAATTGTAATGAGTGTTTACAGAATGAATAGCATAACTGAATTCCTTCATATCTAGTTTTTTTTCTTTTACTTTAAATTAATGTGTACAGGTAAAATGAGGAATAAATACAATCTAATATGATTAGCTGGCTCGATATACAATATGAATTAAATTGGACTCTTATTTGCTTTTTTTTTCTTTCAGTGAAGACACCAGTTTCCTGTCAGCTTTCTCCCAATTCCTTAGTGAAGAACTAACTAGAACATGATAGAGTCCCATTTAAAATTCAAACAAAGCAAAGACATTCAAAGGCAATGCCTTTTAGTAAGATGAGTTAAATAAACATGGGTAAGTATCTGAAAACATAAGGTTTTCACCATGGCAGGACCCTATGCTGCAATCATTCCCAGTAATTCAACTGCCTTTGCATTTGCCAGTAATGTTCTACAAGTGAATTTGCTGATGACTAGCAAAATTTTTAAATGAACCCAAGGCCAATTAATCAAAAGTAATAACAAAGAAACTCTAGGAATACAAGTCAAGGGAGGAGACTGCACCTGGCCAGATATGATACCATTTGCCTACCTTTCATTCAGGAATTTGCTACAATGAATAAAATAAGTATTTCCTCTGAGTGGGAAGGGAAGGGAAGGGAAGGGAAGGGAAGGGAAGGGAAGGGAAAGAACAGGTATTACCTATTACCATTTCTGAATGTATGATTAAAAGAAAAAAAGTCTTTAAAAAAGAATATTAATTAGTCCTATGTTTTCACAATAGAATCCCTAATTCTGAATTTAAAACATTATTCAGTATTTGCTTAAGGATCATATTTAGTTGATATGGCTTTTGACATATAAAAGTTCTAGGGGAAAAACTAAGACCTCTTTTAATTTTACTTTAACATCAAACTAAACATAGCAATTAAAAATTCAATAAGACCATGGGTTACTCTGCTTCAAGAAGTACTTCCAAAATTCAACCACCTAGCTTCTTTCAGGAGGAATTATACACCATCACAAATCTGTTCTAACTTAACTTTTGGAGAAGAAAATGGAAAGTCAAACCCATAGCACAGTGGTTAAGTAAAAGATTTCCTTCTCAGTGTCGGCACAGAAGTGCTTTTGCCCTCTTACAAGCTGCACTATTTCAGCAGATGATTCAGCTGGTCCTGTAGATCAGAAGACTGCTCAACACTAGAAATTAGAAAAGAGAAAAAGGTTTATCTGGAATGAGCAATAAAGACCTCTCTTTGTTCAGTTTGTACTTTAACACAGAAGTACTCCCAAAGCTAAATCAAAATTTATATTGGTCCTCTAGGGTCCCAGAAGTTTAAACTATGAAAAAAAGGTTTTTAAAAAAAAAGAAAAGAAAAGAAAAAAAAAAAGGGTTTGTAAAACCAGTTAGAGATAACCAATAAGGGACAGATTTAATCCACTCAAAAAAACAAGACTGTTTACTGACTTCAGCACATTTAATTTACTTAATGAATATTATCAATGTAGAAGGTTTTCTATTCATTAAGGGTGGCTTCTACACGTTGTAATTTTTAGAAAGCCTTTACTAGCAGTGAATTGACCTACTGTATACCTTTGAAATATACAGTCGACCCTTGAACAACATAGGGGATATATAGGCGCTGATATCCTGCACAGTCAAAATCAGTATATAACCCGACTCCCCCAAAACTTAACTACTAATAGCCTATTGTGGACCAGAAGCCGTACTGGTAACAGAAACAGTCAATTAACACATATGTTGTATATGTATTATATACTACACTGTTATAATAAAGTAAGCTAGAGAAAAAATGTTACTAAGACAATCATAAGGGGATGTGTAGGTGGCTCAGTTTGTTAAGCAACCGACTCTTGATTTCAGCTCAGGTCATGATCTCACATCTCTTGAGTTCTGAGCTCACAGTGCAGAGCCTGCTTGGGATTCTCTCTTTTCTCTCTCTCTGCCTCTCCCTCAAAAATAAATGAATGAATGAATGAATGAATGAATGAATGAAAGAAAGGAAGGAAGGAAGGAAGGACGGAAGGAAGAGGAAGGAAGAATAAGAAAGAGAAAGAAAAGAGGGAAAGAAAGAAAGAAAGAAAGAAAGAAAGAAAGAAAGAAAGAAAGAAAGAAAGAGAAAGAAAGGAAAAAGAAGAAGAAGGAAGGAAGGAAGGAAGGAAGGAAGGAAGGAAGGAAGGAAGGAAGGAAGAATGGAAGGAAATCATAAGGAAGACAGGGCACCTGGGTGGCTCAGTCGGTTAAGCATCTGACTCTTGGTTTCAGCTCAGGTCATGATCTCATGACAGAGATCGAGCCCTGAGTCAGGCTCTGTGTTCATGGAGAGCCTGCTTAAGATTCTCTCCCTCCCTCTCCCTCTGCTCTTCCCCCCCGCTGGCACACTTGCTCTCTCTCTCTCTCACACACACAAAATAAAAATAATATTAAAAAAAAAAAGAAAATCATAAGAGAAAATACATTTAAAATACTATATTGTATTTATTAAAAAAAATCTGTGTGTAAGTGGAACTGTGTAATTCAAACCTATATTGTTCAAAGGTCAACTGTACTGTCTTCTTTATACCCCGAATAAGCTATCCCAGAGCATATGTCAATTTAAGGGCATATGTCAACCAGGGTTTCACACTGATCCTCAGCCCGCAAGCAGAATTCCCTGCAGCCTGCTTTAGTTGCTGCTCCCTGCTCCCAAGTCCCCTACCTCTGGGGTTACTTACTTCTTCTGAATAGCTTCTTGCCTAAATCAGAAAAGGAAAGAGGAAAATAAACATAAAAAATCTCAGAAGACTAGTGCAACTTCTGGCTAGATATACACAGGCAGAATAAATCTCCAGCTTCTGTCACATTCTGGATTTCTGTTCATTCTGGCCTAAGACTGTGTTCTTGAAGCTCTGTTCAACATCTGAGTGCAGGGTTGCTAAAAAGAAGGATTCTAAACCTAAACAGGTAACGATACCCTATCAGATCAAGGGAGGTGGTGCAAAAACCATGCACGTGCATGGCTCACGTTCAGTCCGCAATGTGCAACCTAGTGGTCACACACCTGATATGCGCACACCCCAAGAACGAACACTGAGCTGTCTAAATATCAAGGGTTGAACTCTTAACCGTACAGTAGGTACATAAGTATAATATCAACTATATAAAATATAAAGGAAAATTAAATATGACGAAAAGCTAACTATAATTTTATCCAAAATTACAACAGAGAAGAGGTTCTCTACATTTCAAAGTCTCCGGGATCATTTATATGTAGCCGGGGCTGGGTCATACGTGAGACTATGGGATACAGGTCAGAGTTACACTTGATCCCCTAGTGCAAGAGCAGACTCCCCAGGAGAGACCTTGGGCACAGGTAGTCAACAAATACCGACTCGGTGCCTATTGGGTGCCAGGCACCGTGCTGACGTGGTCCGGGTGTGGGCCCTGCCCTCAGCGGGCTTACAGTCTCTCCCTCTGAGGAGCCCTCAAAGAGATACAGAGAGGCTCACCAGAGGTAGTTCCTGTTCTTGATCTCACCCCACACCCCAACCTCTTCTGCAGTCTCAGCCATCTTTTCCAGAAGGAGCTCATCCTTGACTAAGCCCACTTTTACTCCTGCCTTCACAGGAAAATGTGCCGAAGAACCAAGGCCACAGGGGGCCGCCTGAGGATAATGATTTTGTAGCAAGTAGTCACTGGAGAGGGCATACTCACTGGTATTGGAGATGTGTTGTTATTATTGCCATTTTCCTTAAACTCTGCATTAAAAAACAACAACACACACAAAAAGAGAAATATATACATTCCATTTCCTGTAGCCACACAAATTATGTATATAAAACCCAAATCATAAAAGGAAGTGTTTCTTACATCTTCTGAGTGCAAGATGGCATCTTCCTGTAGTACCATGTTTCGAGCTGCCTGACCTAGCAGCTGGAAGACAAAAATAAAGTGGTAATCAAAATCTCCAAACTTCCTGTCATCTTCTCTCTGCAGCTGTTACACCACCGCCCTCTCTCCTCCCCTGCTCGCCCCCCACAATTACAAAAACTCCAAGTGTAACAGAGGATAATTTTCCATTTGTTCACGTTGAAAATCCAACTTCACGGTCACTCTGGCCATTGTGGCATGGGCTCCACCTCTTTTCCACCTCTGAGATCAAGAGCTCCAGAACTGCAGAGCTCCTCACGTACCTTCTTAGCCAAGTGCTGAAAGAAATCTGCAAAGAAAACTTTGGCTCCACGGGCCCAGTGAGAACTTAACCTTTTGGTTTCTTAGAGACAAATCTGAGATGTGGGGTGGAGTGAGGGGGCAGCAACTAGGGTAGAGCTAAAAAGGATAATAAGAATACAGCTGTTTAGAAATGGAATGAGAGACACAGAACAAAAAAGGCCTTACAAGAAGCTCAGGGCTGAAACGGGAAAGCATCACACGAAGGATGGCTGACAGGCCAGGCAGAGACAAGGAGAAAATGTAACTACACTTACGGTGGGCACAACTATAGGCATAGTTGCAAATCACTGTGTTGTAAACTTGAAACTAATGTAACATTGTATGTCAACTATATTTCAATTAAAAGGGAGAGAGAGAAAGCGGAAGGAAGGAAGGAAGGAAGGAAGGAAGGAAGGAAGGAAGGAAGGAAGGAAGGAAGGAAGAAATAAATGTGGATGCAGATTTTGATGAGTTCCCATAGCTGATAGCTGGGCCCTGACAGCACAAAAGCTGAGCTCTGATTTGGGTGGGTGGCCTGTGGCCACAAATATGTGACTCAGTGGGCACTGAGAGCCAAGAGGAGATCGACAGAAGTTTCTGGCCTATTGTCGCACCCTGTTCCTGGAAGACATTAAGTCCAACCACGTAAGAAGAGCTACTACTATGTGTCCTACCCACTGTCCCTGTTCCCTTGAGTCAGAGAGATTCTGATGAAAAGTGGACCAATGACCTCAAATTCACCAGAAGCACCAGCCCTGCTACAGCTCCCAGATAATTTCCCCCACAGCAACTGCTTTTTATCTCCATTTTTGTTTTAAAATTAATAAACCTTTATGTGCTTCTAAAGTCAAAGCAGTAAAATAAGACCTTCCATCCCTGTCCCTTCCCCTCTCCATTCTCTCTCCCCTACGCATCAATATTTTTTTTTTTAGGGACACCTGGCTGGCTCAGTTGGTGGAACATGTGACTCTTGATCTCAGGGTTGTGAGTTCAAGTTCCATGCTGGGCAAGGAGCCTACTCAATTTTTTTAAAATGTGTGTGTGTGTGTGTGTGTTTTAGTTTTGGGTTTATCTTCCCATTGTTTCTTTTTAAAAGTGGACATATGTATATAATCTCCTCTCCTTACTTAGAATGTAACCTTCTACATGCACTCTTCTCTGCCCTGCTATTTTCACTTGAAAATGTATGTTGAGACAGATCTGCAGCAACATATACCACATCTGCGCATTGTTCTTCTACGGCTGCAGAGTACTCCACTCCACAGATGTCCCTGTAAGCCGGGAGCCTGGGTGGCTCAGTCAGTTGAGCATCTAACTCTTGATCTCGGCTCAGGTCATGATCCCAGCATCATGGGACCAAGTCCAGTGTCAGTCTCTGCACTGGGCGTGGAGCCTGTTTGAGATTCTCTCCCTCTTCCCCCCTGCCCCTCTCCCCTGCTCATGTGCTCTCTCTCTAAAATGTCAGTGAGTGAGTGAGTGAGTGAGTGAGTAAATAAAGAAAGAAATACAGAAATGTCACTGTAAGATTATTCAACTAGTCGTCTGGGGTAGACTTTGGAGCTATTTCCAGTCTTTGCTATTATAAGCAGAGTTACAAAAAATATCTTATATATCTTGGTGTCTTTTTGCTATAGTATCTTTGGGATAGACTCACAGAATCATGACCGTGATTGCTGGATCAGAGGGTTTTAGTTTTGCTACATACTGCCAAATTCGCCTCCATTAGGGTTATACCATTTTGCATCCCCATCCACAATGTATCAGAGTGCCTGTTCCCTCCCTATGACCACTTTTAAGTGGCAAATTCCAAAGTCCTACAGATGGGAGACAGTGACTGACAAACTGATGGCAGAAAGACAAGGTTCAAACAGAATCTTCCTCATTCATTCACTCAGTCAGTCACCGCATGTTTATTAAGTGCTCAGATCCACCAGGGAGAGACATAGCCCCTGTCCTCACAGGGCTCACAATGTGGTGTTACAAAGAAGACACAGGCCGTACAATACCTTGTGGTAACTGCTTATGGGGAAACACCAGATGACCTGAGAGCATGGGGGGGGGGGGGGGGTGTCTGACCCATTACAGGGGCAGAAGTTCAGGGAGGACTTCCTAAAAGAAGTGACTTCTAAGCTGAGACTAAAGGTCCAGCCTGATCGGATTTACTGTGTTTGAAGTGTTGCTAGCAGGATGGAGTGGAGTGGGGACTGAAGGCAGGGAGATTGGTTGGAAGAACGCTGCCATAGTCTAGGCAAGCAAGGAAAGCAGCCTGAGCCACGGAAGTGGCAGTTAAAGGGGGTGGGAGGAGCGATCATTTAGAAGATAGACTCGAGGAGACTCACGATTCATGGAATGCAGGAGCTGTTGCAATGCAGGGCCAAGGCCCCTTCTCTGATGACAGATGCATCCATGGGCATTCTGCATCATTTTCTTGCATAAACCAACCACGCACATAACACATCATAACCCACCACCGAAGATGTCCGGGTTGGGCTTCTTTAAAGTGGAACAACGTCTTGAGTATTTCCCCCTAGGCTGTTACCATTGTTTTGTTCATAAGTAACTCAACAGCAATCTTAGCTATTCACCTTTAGCAAGTATTGTTACTGAGTTATTTGTCAGCTCCTCGTCTTCAACAAGATTTTTCAGCTTAGTTTTCATAGCAATACCATCCCTCTTTTTTTTTTCATTCTAGTTAATCATTTTCCATATTATTGCGTTAAATAATGTGGTTACAATAGCAGGCATACACCTTACACAGGTTTAGGATAAATACACCGGACCCTTTACTCAGCACACAACTGGACTGGAGGACACATGCAGGCACACACAGAAGGAGCTTAAGAGTCATACGCATTCATTGTGCTGAGGGCACAGGCTGGCACGTTCTTCCCCACTTGGTGCTCCGGCCACACTGGCCTCCTTGCACACCCTACACACATTCCCATCTCAAGGCCTTTGCATTTGCCACTTATTCTACTTGGAACGCTCTGCCTCCAGCCGTCCACGTGGCTTGCTCCCTGACTTCATTCAAGTGTCTGCTCAAATGTCCCCTCCTCAGAGAGCCCTTCCCTGATCACCCTATTTAAGGAAAACCCTTTCATCACCCTCTACTCCCAGCTTAGTTTTTCTTCGTAATATTTACCACCACCTGAGTTTTTGGTTCATTTGTTTATCTGTCTCTTCACTAAAATGTAAGCTTCCTAAGTACAGGGTCTGCTCGTTTTGTGTACCACTCTCTCCCTTACGCCTAGAATAGTTCCTGGCACACAGCAGACAATAAATATTTATTACATGAATGCTGTGGAAGGAGAGTTTTACACGTGGAAATTGTCAGCGAATCAAACAAAACAGCCACATGGAGACTGTTGAAAAGAGAAGCAATGCCCTAAGGGCCAAGAAGGATTGAAACTGAAAATCAGGCTGCATGTCTACAATGAGATTAAGAGCCTCCTTTCCCTCAGGACTGACCCCAAGGAGGTGCCCTGTGGTTCTGAAACAATTTGGGCTACATCGATATCAAATCAAAGAGATGGAGAAGAAAGTCTAAGGAACAGAAAGGAGTACCCTCCTGGAGAAGACAATTGCCACTAGACCCCAAAAAATCAGAAGCAGAGGTTGTTCTGTGAAAATAAACTGTAAACACTTAAGGCATTGTTTCTCTAGGAGATTCAGTTCACTGAGCTCAAGACACTATCAAGAAAATGAAAAGGAAACTCACAGAATGGGAGAAAACATATGCAAATAATATCTGATAAGGGATTAACATTCAGAATACATGAAGAACTCCTACAGCTCAAATAAAAAATCCAATGTTGAAATGGACAATGGACCTTCATAGACATTTCTCCAAAGAAGATATACAAATGGCCAATAAGATCAAGAACCACGCTCAACATCACTCGTCTGGGGAAATGCAAATCAATACCACTTTATACCCATCAGGATGGCTATGATAAAAAATGAGGGGTGCCTGGGTGGCTCAGTCAGTTGAGCCTCTAACCCTCGATCCCAGGGTGATGGGATGGAGCCCCACATCAAGCTCCACACTGAGCATGGAGCCTGCTTAAGATTCTCTCTCTCTTTCTCTCTCTCTCTCTCTCTCTCTCTCTCTCTCTCTCTCTCTCTCTCTCCCCCTCTGCCCCTCTCCCCTGCTCGTGCTAGCTCTCTTTCTCTAAAAATAAACAGATAGATAAAAATGGTACACTGTGCTAAACAGCATGGTGGTTCCTCAAAAAGTTAAACATAAAATTACCATGTGAATATGATCCAGTAATTATAATTCTAGGTAAATACCCTGAATAATTGGAAGCAGGGTCTCAAATAGATATTTATATGCACATGTCTACTGAAGCATAGTCACAAAGTCAACAGGTAGAAATAACACAAATCTCCATCACCAAATGAATGGATAAACAAAATGTGGTATATACATACAATGCAATATTATTCAGTCTTAAAAAGGAATAAAGTACAGTACTGATATATACTACAAAAAAAAAAAGACAAAAAAAGAAAATCAATAAGATACTCCAAATTATCTATAGTCTAGTAAAGGAAATGGCAAAAATACGTAAGTAACTATATGAAAAGTCAATATGGTATGTGATAAGTTCCATGTAAGAGATCCAATAAAAGGCAAAAGTCAGAGAATTGACAGATGATGAGTCAATCCTCACAGAAAGAGGGACTGATTTCAGTTTAATTCAATCCACACCACTCACTAAGCACCCACTCTAAATCTACTATGGAAGAATCTCATGTGAAAAACACACAAGGAGGAACAGAAAGGAGCAAGTGACATTAGGGTAGTCAATGGTGACACCATGGCTTTTTGGCCACTTAACCACCTCCTACCACATGAGAAGTGGTGCCCAAGATTGCGGGCCTAGAACCAGTCTGCCTAGGTTTCAGCCTAGTTCTGCCCCTTCCTAGCTACTCTGTAACCTTGGTCAAATTAAATTCCTCTTTGTATCCTCCATGTAAGAAAAGTACCTCCTCTATGTAAATAAAGATTTAATGAATTAAGCTACATAAAACACAGCAATGTCCAGCACATGGTTAAGTTTATTATGATGAATATGGATGTTCAATACATACTGGTGGTTGGCAAGCCAAGAGAAAAATAACATAAATTAAATCTCCTTTCGGCTTGCAGCCCACTGATAAGACACCTGAAACATGCAGAGGATGACCTTGCTCAAAGAACTCATGGCTACCTTACTTGCTTAATGTTTTTGTTTTATTAAAGACTAAAAGTAACCTTATCTTAACAGCAGCTGTCCCCTCAAGGTCCTGAAAGCCTTGCTTTCAAATTCCTTAGAGACTTATGCTATCCCCAACCCCCACTAACTTAAAAGTATATTATCAGTCATCTCCTCACAACCCCAGTGCAGCTCTTTCTGCCCACGCATCCTGTCCCTGTGCTTTAACCCCGTGCTTTAATAAAATCACTTTTTTTTTTTTGCACCAAAGACATCTCAAGAATTCTTTCTTGGCCATTTGTTCAAGCCATCAAATACATACTGGTGGCTAGCTATGAACACTATTGGGACGCATGGGTGGCTCAGTCAGTTAAGCGTCCAACTTCAGCTCAGGTCATGATGTCACAGTTTGTGGGTTCGAGTCCCGCGTCAGGCTCTGTGCTGACAGCTCAAGCCTGGAGCCTGCTTCAGATTCTGTCTCCCTCTCTCTGCCCCTCCCCCACTCACACTCTCTCTCTCAAAAATAAACATTAAAAAAAAAACTATGAACACTATTTTTTAAACTTATATATTTATACCTTGTTTCTCCTCCAAAAAGATTCAAGGCAATTTATACCTAATTGTGTGTGTGTGTGTGTGTGTGTGTGTGTGTGTGTATACACGCCCACACACTTAAAAAAAAAAAAAACAGAATGTAAAAGTCATTAAAAGGAGAAGGAAGTAAATGTGTCTCCCACTAAAACTGATGTAAGAACCTCTGTGCATCCAAGGCAAAAAGTGAAACACCTCAAGTCCATAATTCTCATTTGATAAAAGACAACATAACAATTCTTCAAAAAGAGATAGACTTTCCTCTGATACTGAATCCTAAAATGAGTATATAATGTGTAACCTCACACAAAACATACTCGGGATCACCAAATCAGTGACTTCAATAATAGTATTCTAGTAAATGCTTCTTCATACAGTTGTTTCTTGTAGTCTCTATCAATCAAAGCTAAGGGCATAAAATGAAAGGTAATTCTGTAAAGACAATTCTACTGGACCCTAAACTAATACGAATAAAGCTGTTATGAATATTCACATGCAAGTCCAAAAGCTTCTGGCCATATTATGCTTGTTACTACAATTACATAACTTAATAAAACAATATAGAAACTGATGAAATAGGAGGTAAAAGAGACAGAGTTAATGTTATTATGAAAACTAAGTTGAAAATAAGCAATACTTGAAGATGAGCAGTTGAGACACTGCTATTGAGTTAATTATGAGCAAGACAATGGTAAAGGTCTATAGAAGAAATTCACAAATATCTAAAGACTTTGTACTCAGATTGTTTCACAGGTGTATTTAAGATGTTGTTCCAGTTTAAAGAAACCAAAACAGGAACTTAGACAAGACGTTATATGCGTAACAAAAAGAGAAACATGTAATCATTTCTCTTGCATAAAAACCTAGGAGTGGAGGGGCGCCTGGGTGGCGCAGTCGGTTAAGCGTCCGGCTTCAGCCAGGTCACGATCTCGCGGACTGTGAGTTCGAGCTCCGCGTCAGGTTCTGGGCTGATGGCTCGGAGCCTGGAGCCTGTTTCCGGTTCTGCGTCTCCCTCTCTGCCCCTCCCCCGTTCATGCTCTGTCTCTCTCTGTCCCAAAAATAAATAAAAAACGTTGAAAAAAAAATTAAAAAAAAAAAAAAAAACCTAGGAGTGGAATGGCTGAGCCATCAGAACCATTTTGTTTGCCCATTCACTTATCAATGGACATTTGGGTTGTTTCCAGTTTGGAGCTATCATGGATAATGGTACTATGCACATGTACAAGTCTTTGTGTGGACATATATTTTCATTTCTCATGGGTGAATATCTAAGAGTACAATAAATAGGTCTTTTTTTTTTTTTTTTTTTTTTTGATACAAAGTGAACATACATAAAACTTTCTGGTGTGAAAAGTCATCATATGACTCCATTCATGGAAACAGCTAGAGGATGAAGGGGAAATCGGGGCAAAGGAGAAAGCTAATCTAAGAGACAGAAAACCAAGAATGTGGCCAGAAAGACAAATCAGAAAAGAACAAATCCACAGATGATCCACAAAAGTGTGGAAAGAATGTGAGATGTTGAGGGCAAAATCATGCTGAATTCGGGAGGCAGAAAGAGAAAGATCTTCCTTCCCTAGAAACAACCCCATGAAACAAATTAGGAACTGGCTGGGACCACTACCTTTTCCGCTGCCCAGTGGCAATCTCCACTTTACAGCGGATTCCCACCGGCTCATTTCTTTCCCTCCCTACAACGCTAATCCCACTGAGACTACACACCCCAGAATGCAACACGCGCCCTTCGCGAACGAGCTCTACTCCTCGGCAGAGCAATTCACAGCCTACAATTCCCAGGAGGAAACGCGATATATATATATCTCTCTCTCTCCCACAGCTATGGAAGACTCGGGGCCCCCGGGGTATCGGGCCGGAAAGTCCACTCTCAGCTCACCTCGGAGCTCCGGGAGCCCTTCAGCACCTGCTTAGTGAGCGCGATGACGTCCGTACCACAGGTGTTCACCTTCTCTGTGAGGAGCCCCTTCACAGACTGACCGAATCGCGCTTGAGAATCTGGCGCCCCAGTCGCCATCACTTCCTCTAGTGAACGCCTCCTCCCGAGCGACGGCGCGTCGCTGGGGCCAAAAGAAACGCAAAGCGGAAGGAAGCGAGGTGGTGTCTCTTACCCCGTGGGAAAAGGAAGGAACGCATGCGCCTAGCGGAGGTTGACCTTAGCTAACTTTAAATCCATTTAAACTACTCAGTTGATAACCTGAGGAAGACAAGGCCCAGGTGCACCTCTCTGGAGGGGATGGAAGACAATCTTAGTAAATTCATAGGTTAGAATCAGGAACCCTGGATTACAGGCCTACTTCTGCCATTTAGTTGTGTGACTGCAGATTACTCAATCTTTGCGTCTTGTGTTTATCAATAAGAAAAAAGTAATAATGTTCAAGTCTCCAAAGGGTTATGAGAATGAATTAAGATCATTTAGTTCCACTTTAGTAAAATTTCATGAACTAAATATCAAATTGGGTGCTAGGCTGAGGGTAGAGAAAAAAGATCCAGTCCTTGTCTCTGAGGAGCTCCCAGGCTATGGGATGAGCCATGTAAACAGCTTAGAAATGAAGGAAGTGCTCAAAATCACTAGTAATTTTTGATGACAAATGATCTCTTTGTTCTATTAAAAGCACACTGATCATCACCTTGGAAATGAATAACTGAAATGTTTCATGTAGCTCTATTTCTTTATTAGCTAATGCAGGAAAGATGAAAATGGTGTTATACTGCAAATTTCGTTCAAAATAACCTGTACTCAGTATCAACATTACTTTCTCCTCCAAGTGTCTAGATTCATGTCTCTGTTGACTCTTTCATTTAATTCTTGTTCTTAATTTTACTGAGGTTTAATTTATGTGCAAGAACTATGTTTTTTAAAGTGTACAATTTGCAACCCCTATCAAAATAACACCAGCATTCTTCACAGAGTTAGAACAAACAATCCTAAAATTTGTGTGGAACCACAAAAGATGCCAAATAGCCAAAGCAATCCTGAAAACGAAAACCAAACCTAGAGGCATCACAATTCCAGACTTCAAGCTGTATTACAAAGTTGTAATCATCAAGACCAGCATGGTACTGGCACAAGAACAGACACATAGATCAATGGAACAGAACAGAGAACCCAGAAATGGACTCACAAACATATGGTAAACTAATCTTTGACAAAGTAGGAAAGAATATCCAATGGGGAAAAAAAGACAGTCTCTTCAGCAAATGGTGTTGGGAAAACTGGATAGCGACATGCAGAAGAATGAACCTGTACCACTTTCTTACCACAGACACAAAAATAAACTCAAAATGGATGGCAGACCTAAACGTAAGACAACAAGTCATCAAAATCCTAGAAGAGAAAACAGGCAACAACTTCTTTGACCTCGGCCACAGCAACTTCTTACTTGACATGTCTATGGAGGCAAGGGAAACAAAAGCAAAAATGAACTGTTGTGACCTCATCAAGATAAAAACAGCGAAGGAAACAGTCAGCAAAACTAAAAGGCAAACTATGCAATGGGAGAAGATCTTTATACATGACACATCAGATAAATATCTATAAAGAACTTATCAAACCCAACACCCCAAAAACAAATAATCCTGTGAAGAAATGGGCAAAAGACATGAATAGACAATTTTCAAAGAAGACATCCAGATGACTACCAGACACATGAAAAAATGCTCAATATCACTCATCATCAGGGAAATACAATTCAAAGACACAATGAGATACCACCTCATGCCTGTCAGAATGGCTAAAATTAATGGCTCAGACACCAACAGATGTTGGCGAGGATGTGGGAGAGAGGAACCCTTTTGTACTGTTGGTGGGAATGCAAACTTGTACAGCCACTCTGGAAAAGAGTATGGAGCTTCCTCAAAAAATTAAAAATAAAGCTACCCTATGACCCAGCAATTACACTACTAAGTATTTATCCAAAGGATACAGGAGTGCTTTTTCAAAGGGGCACATGCACCCCCATGTTTATAGCAGCACTATTGACAATAGCCAAAGTATGGAAAGAGCCCAAATGTCCACTTACCAATGAAAGAATAAAAAACATATGGCATATATATACAATGGAATATTATTCACTGACCAAAAAGAATGAAACCTTACCATTTGCAACAACATGGATGGAACTAGAGTGTATTATGCTAAGCAAAATAAGTCAGAGAAAGACAAATATCATGTCATATGTGAAACCATATATCATTATTTCACTCATGTGAAATTTAAGAAACAAAACAGATGAACATTAGGGAACGGAATCAAAAATAATATAAAAACAGAGAGGGAGGCAAACCATAAGAGTCTCTTAAATACAGAAAACAAACTGAGGGTTGCTGGCAGGGTGTTGGGTGGAGAATAGGCTAAATGGGTGACGGGCATTGAGGAGGACACTTGTTGGGATGAGCACTGGGTGTTATATGTAAGTAATGAATCACTACATTCTAGTCCTGAAGTCATTACTACACTAAATGTTAACTAACTTGGATTTGAATTTTTTTTAATTAAAAATTTAAAAAAAAATAATGAAAATGGTAAAAAAGAAAGAGAGAGAGATTTCTGACTTGGTAATTAAAAGTTCTCAAGGCAAATATGGTAATAAAATCCATTCTGTGGCTGAAAAAAAATAAAGTGTACAATTTACAGGTGCCTGGGTGGCTCAGTCGACCCAGGTGTGCTGGCAGCACAGAGCCTACTTTAGATCCTCTGTCTCCCTCTCTCTCTGCCCTTTCCCTACTTACAAACACACACTCTCAGCAATAAACATTTAAAACAATACAAAAATAAACTACGGCGAGAGGGAAGATGGCAGCGTAGGAGGACGCTGGGCTCACCGCGCGTCCTGCTGATCACTTAGATTCCACCTACACCTGCCTAAATAACCCAGAAAACCGCCAGAGGATTAGCAGAACGGAGTCACCGGAGCCAAGCGCAGACGAGAGGCCCACGGAAGAGGGTAGGAAGGGCGGCGAGGCGGTGCGCGCTCCACGGACTGGCGGGAGGGAGCCGGGGCGGAGGGGCGGCTCGCCGGCCAAGCAGAGCCCCCGAGTCTGGCTTGCAAAAAGCGGAGGGGCCTGACGGACTGTGTTCCGACAGCAAGTGCGACTTAGCGTCTGGGAGGTCATAAGTTAACAGCTCTGCTCAGAAAGCGGGAAGGCGGGAGGACAAAGGGAAGGAGAGCTGCTGAGCCCATCCCCCAGCCAAAATCCCAAAGAGAACCAGTTCCTGCCGGGGAACTTGCTCGCTCCGCGCAAACACCCAACTCTGCGCTTCTGCGGAGCCAAACTTCCGGCAGCAGATCTGACTCCCTCCCGCTGCCACAGGGCCCCTCCTGAAGTGATCACCTAAGGAGAAGCGAGCTAAGCCTGCCCCTCTTGCCCCAGTGCACCTTGCCTACCACCCACCCCAGCTAAGACGCCAGATCCCCAGCATTACAAGCCTGGCAGTGTGCAAGTAGCCCAGACAGGCCACCCCACCCCAAAAATAAACTACAATTTGATTAGTGTGACAGAGGTACACACCCATGAACCACCACCACTATCAAGATACAGAACATTTTTATCACTCCCAAAAGTTTACAAGTCTCTCTTTGCAGTCCATTTATCCCTCACTCTAGGCAACAACTGATCTGTCTTCCAGCGCTGTAAACTAATTTGCATTTCTAGAATGTTATATAATTGGAGTAATCCAGAAAGTATTCTTTTTGTCTGGCTTCTTTCAGCATAATGATTTTGAGAGTCATCCGCATTGGTGTGTATCACTAGTCTGTTCCTTTTTATTGCTGAGAAATATTCCATCATTTGAATATATCTCATTTTGTTTATCCATTCACCTGCCAATGGCCATGTGGGTTGTTTCCATTTGGGGGCTATTATAAATAAAGCTGCTATGGCGTTCACATACAAGTCCTTATGTAGGTTGTTTTCATTTATCTTGGAAAATGTCTAGGAGTAGAATGGCTGGGTCATATAAGTGTTTAACTTTTCAAGAAACTGCCAAACCACTTCCCAAAGCTTTGGGGTTTTTGTTTTTGTTTTTACCATTTTACATTCCCAATAGCAGCGTAGGGGATTCCAGTTGCTCCACACCCACAAATTTAGGAAAAGACTGTTAAGTAGCCATGGTAACAAGTAGTCACCTGTGATAGACAGACTGGCCACTGACACGTAGCTTCCATGCTCTCCACCTCCTGGCGATCCCCTTCTCTTACATGGGGGAGGACCTGTGGCTTGCTTCTAACCAATAGAATATGCACAGGTGATGAGAGATACATGATTGTGCATACATGATTATGTGATTACAAAGACCATAAGACCCATCTTGCTGAAATCTCTTTACCCCTTGCCAGCTGTGAGGAAGCAAATGGGATGTTGGGGAACTCCACATGGCAAGAAACTGCAAGCATCATCTAGTCACTGAGAAATGAGCCTCCAGCTGGCAACCAGAAAAAAAAGAAAGAAAGAAAAAGAAGCACTCAGTCAAACAACCTAAAATAACTGAATGGTACTAACAATCAGACAAATGGGGAATAGATCCTTACCCAGATGAGCCTCCAGATAAGAACCTAGCCCTGTCTCACACCTTGATTGCAGCCTTGTGAGACCCTAAGTAGATGGCCCAGAAAAGTTGTACTTGGAATCCTGACCCACAGGAACTATAAGATAATAAATGTGTGTATTGTTTTAAGCCACTGTTTTTGGTAATATTTTTATATGGAAATAGAAAACTATTATGCCACCAGAACTTGGTTGAAATCTGTTCAGTCAGTTATGACAACTCACCTGAGTGGATCCCTTTTGCAAATCAAGCAATCAGGGTCACTTCTGAAAGTCAGTCATCCAGGAACTGATCCATGCCAACAATTACCCCTCAGAGTGCCAGTCAATCGACAATAGTCTCACCCAAGTTACTTCTACAAAGGATAATATCAACCTTCTGATGTCCATCAGTTGCTGAAGTCTGTGCTTCCCCAAAACTCTCTTATGATCAGCAGTCTATCCTGCTTAGAGAGACTGCCTACTCTCCTTTAGTATAATAAACACCAAATTCAGTTTTGTC